CCCGCCGAAACCCCCCCCCCCCCCGCCCCGGTCGACCAACCGACAACGATCCATCTTGAACCCCGACTGACTTCTTCCCTCTAGCCCTTCACCGACGTCTCCTCCTCTGGAACTGCCCCGCCGAGTGCGATCACACGTGCCAGCACATCATCACCGCGCAGCGCGTCGCCGGCGGCGCGCCTGTCGTGCAGTTCCACGGCAAGTGGCCCTTTCGGCGGCTGCTTGGGCTGCAGGAGCCGTGCTCGGTGCTCTTCTCCCTCGGCAACCTGTGGGCGCACTGGGACGGGCTGCGCAAGGTGCGCGCGCGCATCCCCGCGCGCTACGCGCTGCGGCCCTGGTACGTGGTGCTCGCCCACGTCGGCGTCGCCTCGTGGGTCGCGTCGGCCGTCTTCCACGCCCGCGACTTTGCCGCCACCGAGCAGCTCGACTACTTTGCCGCCGCCGCCAACGTGCTGTACGGCACCTACTACGCGCCCGTCCGCGTCTTCCGCCTCGACCGCGCCACGCCCACCCGCCGCTCGCTGCTGCGCGCGTGGACCCTGCTCTGCGTCTTGCTGTACTGCGCCCACGTCGCGTACCTCAAGGGCGTGCGCTGGGACTACACGTACAACATGGCGGCGAATATCGGCGTCGGCGTCGTGCAGAACGTGCTGTGGACGTGGTTTAGCGTGCAAAAGTACAGAGAGTCGAGGCGCCTGTGGACGACGTGGCCTGGTCTGGTCGTCGCCTGGGTGGTATTCGCCATGAGCATGGAGATGTTTGACTTTCCGCCGTGGCTGGGCTCGATTGACGCGCACAGCTTGTGGCACCTGCTGACGATTGCCCCCACGGTTCTGTGGTACAAGTGAGTATCCCCTACGGCTGTATCCACGGTACAATGCTAATGAGACAGTTTCCTCGTCCTGGACGCCAAGGCCGACATGGCCTCAGCCGAGAGACTCAAGGCATAGAGTTGATACAGGCTCTGCGGGAGGCGTCAGGTCACGTAAACAACCACCGCAATTATACACGCCCATTCATAATTAATAAGTCATATTGCAATCGTTCACGAAGCATTTCAAGTTGATATCAGGCCCCGATCCAAACCAGTCAACGCCAATAGATACAAATTCCCAAATGTCCAGATAATATGCCACCGTTAACCAGGTATACGATTCATCTTCTCATCACATGTACGCTCCAAACACAAATACACTTTTCTTCTTTCTCTTCCGCCCCTCGGACCGCTCACCGGCTCAACCACTCAGCAAGTCCCGCACGGACAGCCCCCGGGCATTCGCCGTCGTCCCGCGACGGTCGTTATTCAGCATCAGCAGCGCGGCTGTGGCCTCCTGGTCGAGCTCCGTCTGCGGGTTCAGGGCGGGACTCGTGACCGTCGACGCCGACGTGGACGTGCTGCTGCGGGCGTACGGTCCGTGGCGCTGCGGCCCAAACGCGGGCGACGGTGTGGCCGAGAGCGTGAAGCTGCCGTGGTGGCGGTAGTCCGGGACGGCCGACGACGACGAGTACGAGTGGTGGCGCGGGCGGGCATCCTGCGGGTGCAGCGCCGGCGACACGGACGGCTGGTGCGTGGGCGCCGCCGGTGCGGGGTAGTGGTGGTGGTTGTGGTTGTGTTGGTCCTCGCTGGCGCGCCTGGCGGTAAAGGTCGGCGACACGGCTTCCGAGTCGGACATGTCCACGTCGGCCGGCTCCCCGTGAAAGGTTGGGTGGAACTCGCGGATCGACGGCAGTGGGTTGCCCGAGGCGGAGACGTCCCCGCGGTGCTCGCTGCCGTGCTGGGCCTTGAGTTGCGAGACGCAGTCTTCGAGGTAGCGGATATATTCAATTGAAGCCTACTGCTGTTAGTATATTTTACTCTTTCTTTGTTCTTGTTTGCTTTTTTTGTGTGTGTGTGTGGTTCTTTTTTTTTTTCGTTCGGGGTTGGGCTGCGTGTAAGCCGCGTGCGTACCTGCAGAATGGCCAGCTTGTGCATGTCGCCGGTGCAGGCGGGAATCATATTCTTCAAGACGGCAAACTCCTCGTTCATCTTGCTGCGCCGCCTTCTCTCAATCAGGCTGTGGGCCGTCTTGCGGGCAATTTTGCGTCCGGCGGCGCTCGTCGCGCTGGGCTGCTTCTTGCCCGCCTTGGCGCCACCGCCGCCGCCGCCCGCGGCAGCCGCGCCGCTCCCAGAGGCGCCGGCATTCGCAGCCGATTTGGCGGCCTTGCCGGCGGCCGGCTTCCCGGTGCTCTCCTTGGCGGCCGAGGCGTCGGCAGCGGCGGCGGCGTCGTCCTGGCGGGGCTTCATCTGTATAATCTTGCGGGAGCGGGTCGGCGGCGGCGGCAGGGCAAAGGCGGTGTTGGTGCTGCTGTTGTTGCTGCTGCTGCTGTTGTCCTTGGTCTCTCTGGTGGCGGCGGATGACCGGCGGCGTGCCTTGACCGTCTCGGCGGCCTGCATCGGATACGAGGGCGGGCTCATGTGCTGGTGGTGGTGCTGGTGGTGCTGGCTGTGGTGGGCGGCGGACGATCCGGGAGAGAGCTTGCCCGGGGATGTACGCGCGGCGTCATGAATGGCGGGAGGGGGCAGCTCGAACGCCAGGTGGAGCGAGGCGAGTTGGTTCACGCCGTCTTTAGCTTTGAGATCGGTGGAAGATCCGGGTGTAGGAGGGAGACCGGGACGAGGCATTGTGAATTTTTTTTCTTCTTTCTCTTCTCCTGCTGTCGTGGGGTGGTCGAGTAGATGTATGTCGTGGAACCGGTTGTCGGCTCGTTTAAGGCTCGCACGCCGTTGGCGCACACAAACGTAATTAAGCGTGAAATGAACCGGCTGGAATGAGGCTTGCAGACCTAGCCAACGGAATTGACTTTTTGGAATAAGCCAAGGCAGTATGGAAATGGCGTTTTGGGTTGAGATGAGGCTGCGGTAGCGTGCCAATAAGTCCTGGGTAATAGACAACACAGCCCCGTTGGCTATTTGTAGTTTTGCGTCAGGGGTTTTGTACTTGTTCCCTCAGGATGGAGAGTCCTTGTATGCGAAGAGCCGTTATCATAGGTATTGTTCAGGCTCTTGTGGTGTCTTCACCGGGATGTGTAGTAGGGTAATAGAGTGTCCAAAGTATTGGTTTCCCTCACACGATACGTCGCTCCAGGGGCATATCCAGGGGTCAATCAACCAAAGATTTTAGAGACAAGAGCAATGAAGAAGATTGGAGTTTCCCAAGGCAATTTCGCGTCGACCAAGAAGAGCAGTCGAGGGCGTGACAGTCTGTGGGGGGGGCCAAAGTGCTGAACAAGATAGCGAGTGGATGTGGTGGACTAGTTAACGCAGATGTCGTGCTTATCTTGTAGCCAAGGGAGAGCGAATGGGACTGTAAAATGAGGACAAGAAAACGTGAGCACGCGAGTAGCGAACTAATAAAGGCAACAAGAAAATTGCCGGGGACATGAAACTGGGTGGCAACAAAGATAAGAGGAGGAGAGAGAGAGAGAGAGAGAGAGGAGGAGGAAGATGAGGCAAGATACGTAAAAGGACAGACATGGGGGGGAGAGGAAGAATCACGTTTTTGCCGCTTGGCTTCCTTTGGGCAATCTACGGGGTGTCAAAGTACCAAAAAGGTCAGAGCTCTGTTCTTTTTTTATTATTATTTTCTGAACGTTTTGGACGAGTAAAGAGTGCACCACGAGGGGGGAGGGGGCGGGAAAGCTTGATTTTCAGTTGAGTTGTCGAATAGCTAGGCACGGAGAGGAGTGCGCAGGGCCCACGCGCCCATACTGTTGGGCAGTCTGTATTGTACATATTTCCGTAAAAAACCCCCCCCAAGCTATAAAGGGAAACTGATGAGACGAGAAGAAAAAAGAGGCAGAAAAGCCCTGACCAAGCAGCATCGAGCAAATGGTCGCGTGCGTCGCCGACGCTGGGCTGCTTGGCCGCCAGCCAATGGCAGCACACGGCTGGGCCATGTGCATGCCAGGAATGGGTGACGCGTGCTGGGACGTAGATGCCAAGGGGGCTGATAAAATGGGATTTTTTTTTTTATCAAGTTGGAATAAACTAACTATGTAAACTAGTATCCGTATCTTGTTCGCTTTCTCTCCACCCCCTCAGCTTCGACGGGCCCCTTTCCGCCAAAGAGCTCGCGTGCTTGGCCTCGTGCTCGGTGCTCGTGTGCTTGTCTCGACGAAAATGCTGTTCCCCCCCCCCCTTGTCAAACCAGGTTCGTGGCTGTGTTGGTGTTGTCCCCTTTGCTTCTTGCTTCGCCATGCGGCCACACAATTGTACCACTCACTGCTCCGTCCTCGTCGCCCACAGCTTTCCCCCATGCCCCCGTGGAGGAACGTGGGCGGCCATGTCAATCAGTCCACTTCGACCCTCTCTCCCCCCCCCCTTCTTTACCAAATCTGCCGATGGCAATTGCCCTGCCGATGACATTTGGCAGATTTGCTGCTTTGCTTGGTAACTACAGAAGCTATATCTTGTTGTTGCTTTGCGTCGCCGTCACCGTTATCAAGCGGACAACCTCGAACTATGCGTCTGAGTCAAGTCTGCAATCCGTCACACTTGACACTCGAACTATTTCGGCCCATGTCTTGGGACCCATGTGTCCCTGGACCCTTGTCTCGTGCTTCCTCCCGCCCGCCCACGGTGCAACCCACCTCGCCAGTATTGGTCAGTTTTTCGCTGCGCCATCACGTAAAGTGAGTTGTACAGTAACTAACTAGTTGCTAGGTACATACATGCAGTAACTAGACAGAGTCTATGCCGCGGCTTGCAGGCAGTCCTCGGCGTGCTGTCCATCAAGTAGCGCATTTGAAACCTCATCTCGCCTAGCTATCGTCTCACTACATGTTTTGGCCCAGAGTGCCCGTACGATTGCGGCTCCGCGACTGAATAAACACCCCCCCTTGCGTTTCGTTGGCAGCATGCTTCCGTAGTGAAAATGGCGCAGCTTGTCATCGAAGGCTTCATGGGCGCTGGAAGCGGAAAACTCCCCGTCCCTGGTCACTCTGACTACCCTAGACTTCATCGTCGAATGGAAGCAGTCTGCTGCACAACGTGGCGAGAAGCTAAAGGCATCGTTTTTTCCCAAGTCTCCATGCATTGTGGTGACATGCTTGCTCCGTTATGCACGATCGCTGGTCCCCATCGTCGGCACCGATTCGTAAATCGTGGGTAAAGCTGGGAGCGTGACTTTTGCACACACGTCTGACTCGCATACGAAGGAAGCGACGTCACTTGTTGAATCCCCCACCGAACCACCCACGGAACAGCTTTCCTGCCATGATAACCTTGCTATAAGAGCCCGCCGTTATCAAAAACGCCCACATCTGCACAATAAACGACCGGCCCGTTCCAACATGGCAACGATGCATCTTCGATGGCCCATCGATCCGTCTTGTTTTGCGAACCAGCCCACAAGGATCCGCACGTGATTGCGCACCAGGATGGGCCGAGCCAGGATGGGATGGGGATATCCACCGAGCCATGGATGAGACAGCAAACAAAGCTCAACGCCTAACTAGCGAATCGCCCGGTGAATTACAAAGTCGCTCACAAGAGAGGGAAAGACAGAGAGAGAATGGCAACGAAAAATAAAAGACCAGGTACCCATGTACCGACTGGTATGTGCCGCATCACTCAACCCCGCCGGATATAGCCTACGCATACCCAGCGCGGTACGGACGAACCTTGGCCGATATCCCCCGTCCACAAGCCATAATCTCTTGTCCCTTAGCTCAGCCCCGAAAAGCCAAAATGAGTTAAAAAGGAAAAAAAGGAACCCCCAATCGGACAATAGATCACCATATCAAAGAAATCAAAATCCAATGAATTAGGGCTTCGTACGTTTTTCTTTGTTTGCCCTCCCCTCACACAACAAACAAAGAAGGAAAAAGGAAAAAAAAAGACGTCTCGCTTTTCAATGCGCGCCGCATTGTGCGAACTTCTCGCTCCCGCACCATGAGAGGGGGCCATCGAACCCCCCCCCGCCAGCAAAGATTGCGCGCGCCGCCCAACTAACTAGCTTGCCGCCTCCGCATCGTTTCCCCCCCGCCGCTGTCGCTAGTAAAGAAAGGTGAGAGGTGACAGAAAGAAAGAAAGAGAGAAACGCGCGACCGCTGTCAAGTTATGGATTTGCATATGATGCATCCCGATCTTGCCGCGCAGGCGCAGGCCGGCGCACCACCACCCGTCGGACAGATGCATGACACGACGCAGCAGCAGCAGCAGCAACAGCAAGGACCCCACGGCGGCGGCGGCGGCGGCGGCGGCGGCTATCATGCTCTGCAGCCGTCGCATCAGCCGTCGCAGCAGCACCGCTATGCGCCGGCATCGTCCTCGCCAGCATCGTCGTCCCATCCAGCGTACACCACCGCCGCCGCCGCCGCCCACTCACCCGCCGCATCCTCTACATCCTCGGCCACCGTCGGCACCACCACCGCCGCTGCTGGGAGCCCATCCGCCGCACCCGCCGGCCGCCTCGGGCACGTGCTGCACACGATGCAGCAGACGGGCTTCCACGCCTGGGGCTTCGTCATCTACCGGGGGTGCGCGTACGGCGACGAGCCGGCGTGGCAGCGCTTCATGGC